TGAACTTCAACGTCCGTCTTTCCGTCCATAGCCCGGCTATGGACGAACACATCGTCGAAGTAACTCGGTGCGAAGTCTCGCACCGGTCTCAACAGATTTGTGACACATCTGTTGAAAGTAGCAGGGGAATTGCTCAGCCCCTGTGGCACCACTAGCCACTCCCACAGCATACCGCTGGGGGTGCTCACTGCTGTGAACGGTATGGCCCTTTCACGCATGAGGATCTGATAGAATCCATCCATCAGATCCATGGACGAAAAGATGGTACTCTTTGACATACCATCTATGATTACGTCCTTCCTCGGTATCGGCGTTTGAGCCGGTACCGTTGCAGCATTCAACTTGTTGAATGCGTGCACTATCCGCCACCCTCCTGTGGCCTTTCGCACACAGAAGGTCGGAGAGCTGTGAGGGGATGTTGATTCCCTCACATGGCCCGCTGCTAAGCGATCGGCAAAGAACTTGTCGATCGCTAGTACTTGTTCACGAGGCAGTGGCCACTGCTTCATGACACAGTACTTCGAGCCCGGTTTGAGCTCGATCTCGTGTCGAGTGCCTTTGTCCTTAGGCAACTCGCAAGGTACGGATTCAGGGAACACATCCCTGAATTCGATCAAATCCTTATACAAAGGATTTGCCTGAAGTGACTCCCAGGATTGGGACGTGTATCGCTCAATCCGAGTCTTCTCATCGAGGACACTTTCGTCCATCGATGAGCTGCTGAGAACCCGTTCGTTCTCAGCAAATACTGTTGCCGACCGAATATCGGTCACATACTCATCCTCTGTGACGAGTATGCAGATCTGCTTGACTTTGCCACTACGCAGATCACGCAAGAACCGTTTCGGTTCTAGCGTTGGCAACTGAGTTATCTCCGAAGTCAACTTCGGAGGCACAATCAGATCAAGCGTATAAGCGCCTACGCTTGATCCGTCATTAACCAAGACGTTCAACGTCTCGGTTTCTTCCTGGGAACTTGCTTCCACAGGTTGCTGAGGGCCTGATCCCTCAGCAAGTGACTCTTGAGGAATTCCTTCCTCAAGTACGTGGGGACTTATTCCCTCGACGTCTTCCGACTGTGGCTGTGCAACCACAGTCAGGCACCGATCCTCTACGGTCGACTCTCCAGTCGACCTAGGATTTCCATGTTGCCCTTTGAAGGCAACAGGTTTCTTTTGTCTAAGATGCTGCCCGCTAGGCATGCATCCATGTCCCGGTCCACTCGACTTATTCGAGTGGTGGACCTTCGGCGCAGCCTGTACATCTGTACAGCCGCCGGGAGCTTGCTCCACAGTGTAGTGATCAACTACACTGTGATCTTGTGCAGTCGTGCTAACGACCGTACCGCAAGTGAGGCCATCGCACTCACTCGCAGAACATCCACACGCTTGTGGACGCTCCAAGATGTTCATCAGATGGCCATCTGATGAACAAGCGGCAGGCATCTTCACGGATCGATGCTGCCAGCTCACCCTTGGCTCGTACTTTCTGAGCCAAGGTAATCCCAGGATGACATCAAATTTGTCATCCAGATCTAGTACGATGAAGTCATCATCGTACTGTTCGCCCTCTAACGTGTAGTGGATTCCTACTACACGTTTCTCAACGGTTATCGATGCGCCTGTTGCAAGGCGCACCGTCATCCTTGTGAGGGGAATGTCGCGCTCAACGAACTTGAGCCTACGACCCTCTAGTGACTGGCGACGAACAAAGTTGTTCGACGCCCCACAGTCTACTAGGGCACGAAGCGACAAATCATTTGTCGCTTCCAACTTCAAGGTGATGAGCGAAACGTCATCACCAGGTGCAGAGACACACAATGATTGTGTATCTGGAGCAACTTTCGTCAAGAGATTTGCAAATTCTCTTGAGGTTGCTGGATCAGTAGGGCGCTCCGCCCCTACTGACCCCGACCATTTTTTATGGCCCGTCTCGCTGTTGCGGCTTCGCAACAGCGCTGGACCCACGCCCATTGCCCTTTCTGGCGAACGGTCGTCCATTTCGCTCAGTACTGTTTGGTACTGGGCGTGGAGCACTACACTCGTATGCGTAGTGCCCTAACTTCTGACAGCGATTGCACCTCTGCAATCGCTTGTTGTTCGAAGAGCGAGGTCTCTCACTCTCAACATAGCAGAGGTCCATTGGTTCTGGACCTCCGATCTCTTGTCGTCTCGGTGGACGATAAGAGTTTGAGCTAGCATGAGCCTGTCTCATGCTAAAGTCTTCCTGTTCCGCGGCTGATATCGCATCTTCCAGCGTATTCAGCTCAAGGCGGAACAGGTGGCTCCTGACGGGCCCCTCTGCGAGCCCTTGCATGAACACCGTAATCAACGTGTGTTCATGTACTGGGTTAGCAGTTATACTACTCGCAAGGAGTCGTATATGTTGTGCGTAAGCGTGCACATCACGCTTACCCTGCTTGAGTTTCAGGAGCTCTGAACGAGCCCTGAACTCAGCCCGTGGCGGCTCAAACGTTTGTCTGAGCCGGGACTTGAAGTCATCTAGCGACCTAAACACATTTGGGTCGCTACTCTCGAGTCCCAGGGACCAAGTTTTGGCACGCCCTGCCAAGTGGGTCTGAGCAAATGTGAGTTTCATTTGCTCATCTTCGACGCGACGAGCCCTTAGGGCTCTGTCGAGTTCGACAAACCATAGTAACAGGGAGTCCTCCGGGACTCCACTGTACTTGGAGATGTCAACTTTCATGACTTCGGGACGACGCGCATGCGCCGTCCCGCCCACAGCAGCATGGAATTGCTGCTGTCTCAACAGCTCCGTCTGTTGAGCACCGAGTTCTCTCAACTGCTCGGCCTGTTGAGAGCCTTGCTGGTGAAGCAAGGCTACTTTCTCCCTCTCGATGGCAAGTTCATTTTGAATGAACTTGGCGATAGCGGCATGTTGTTGGTCTCTGTCTAGAGACTCCAACATGGCGCTAACGACGAGTTCGCCTACGGTAGAACTCATTCGTTCTACCGCACCCCATTCGATGTCACTCAAATGGGTAAACCCTTCACGCGTGGCGTGAAAGGTATCTTCTTCATCCAACATGTTCATGTTGGATGTTGTGGTCCTTGGAAGGACTACAAAGTGCTACCAGGTGTAACGGGGCACACCCTTGCGTGAACTTAACGCAAGGGTTTTGGTGCCCCGACAGACGTACACGTGGCAAGCGAGGAAGCGTAGGTAGGGTAAAAGCAGAACTGTTATATTAATATAATTAAGTCTTTTAACTACTGTCTCTCTGTTTGACTTAGCTTAACTATACTAATATAACTGGATGTATGGTGACGTCTCGTCACCACTCATTGCGCGCGTCTTGCGGCGATTGGTGGGTTGATATCATCAAGATATCAACCAATGAACAGACCTTTTGGTCGACCCTTCAATATCACCACTTTGGTGATATTGTTTAAAGAATATCCATCTTCATATTCTTTATTGTCACTTTCCTTAAAGTGACAATTCCATGTAACGGGCTGCCCCGTTACACGGGGTAGCAGGGCACTAGCCCCCACTGTTGCCAGGAAGAGTCAGCTACGTACTGAAGTCAGTACGAATCCACCAGTGCCCCGTCACTTAGACAGTATTGGACGTCTCACGCACAAGCTACACCTTTCATATCTACCAACACGGAGCTGAGCGCATTCTGTGACATGCAAGCCGTATACCTTCCTAGAAGGAGCCGTGCTGCCCAAGAAGGTTGTTTTCACAGTCGTAAGCAATTCGGCGAAAGACTGTTGCATCCTGCTGGCCAACAGCCAACGTAAGAATGTAATATGGGTTTGGTTTGAAGCGACCTGAGTACACACTTCCTCTTGTTTGCTAAGGCTACACCCCCTAATCGCATTTTAGCGATCAAGGGCCCGTATGTATTGGTCGTCAGCAAGCGTCCGGTTGGCCGACTTACTGATACAAGCCATTGACAGAACATCATAGCAGGGCCTCTGCTTTGCAGCGGTACCTCGCAAAAAAACTGGACTGGGTGGGCGGTCGTATTGCCTTATTTTTTAAGCCTCCGTGACCACGAAAGGACTATTCTGCATGCTCAGAATACAAGACTTTGGCCTACGAAATGTAAGGCTTTCGTCGTCCTAACGATTTGGTGATGTCCAGGTCACGATTTGATGAAAGTGTAAGGCACGTGCGCGTAAAGTAATTGGTCAGACATCGCTCTTAGAATCTGAATGCGACGACAAGTGCCTGAGATTATGCCGCATCCCTTTTAGCAATTTTGCATGAGGCCGTCCCATTAACTAGCCTGTCGACGTATGAACGATGACATCAAATGACAAAGTGGGACGTTTGTGTGATCAGGGCATGAACGATGTTGGTCGATGATTTACCCGGTCATCGATCTGAGCCAGAAAATGCTAGAGGAGGAACATAATCGTAAACTGTTGGTAGTAGTGTCCATGTTTATACCTCTTTTTCTTTTCTCGAGCAAAGATTGTGTGAGGACGTAGAGCTCAGCACTACTCGCAGACTCTGTTGTAGACGTCGCGAGCATTAAGATGAAGGTCTTCTTGCAAGGACCTTTTTGCGCATGTCAATGATGCGAAACCACCGACGCCAGTCGACATGATCAACGTCAAACGGTCGGGACTCACTCATCGAAGATCGCGTTTTGCGATAGCATCCGTACCTATGCGTTGAGCATTAATTATCCCAGAGGAAAGCTGGGGAGCGATATGCCAAGTCATCCAACAAGCTCCCTTGACTGCAGCAGCATGCTCCTTCCGCATCCATATATCATGACAACGTGCCGGTCGTGTCGGAAGCTGAGCTACTCTGGCTTTTGTCCGCCTAAAAGTCCAGTCACAAAAAATGTTTCGGGTGTCAGTGCCGAAAAAAGCGCTTTATTCTTTCCAATAAATCGCTTCGCAACCTCACCACTTTTTCAACTTTCGATCCACAATAATTGCAGCCTTTTTTACACACACACACACATAAACAATCCATGTGGCGCCTCTCGTTCGTTGACAAGAGCACATTCGTCAAAAATGACCAAAAAGCGTCGACAATCCCACCCGCGCGCCTGCCGCGCTCTCTCGGCAATAAACGAATCGTTTTGCACCAAACGAGCGCGGGCTCGTCGAGACCACTCGACGTGCTCCACGCCGCACCAATCTGGCGCGTCACCCGAGACCGTGGCGCATTTCCGAGCGCTGCAGCGCTCGACGGCTTCCGTGGCTATTGCTGACGTGTTTGAGTGGCTCGGAGACGCCCTTCTGGGCGAACTGATTGGGCGCTGTCTATTGTCCCAGTTCCACCACGCGCCAGTGAGTGTGCGGGTGTTCCGGAACGTGCGACTGGCGGTGGTTACGAACCGTAACTTGGCGCGTGTGTACGACGCGATGGGGTACGCTACCGTGCGATGCCATCATCCAATGGGCGCAGCTTTAAAGGCCGTGACGATGAAAGACCGAGCAGACGTCGTGGAAGCGGTTGTGGGTGAGCTCGTGGTGACAGCGTATCGGCAAAAGACGAGCGACGTCGACGGGTACAGAGCCCACTTGGATGCCGTCGTGGCGACGATGCTGCACACGCACTTTGACGCTCTGCTGCACAAGAGGAACGAGTTTGGTGAGACTGCAATGACGGCGAAAGGACCGCTGAGCGTGGCGTTCAACCCGTTTGCGTGTCTGCCTCGGGAGCACTTGGACGACACAACGGGGGCGCTGGTTGTAACCGATGGAGTGTTTTTCGATAGCGAGGAGGCGACCGATGGCTTTTGTTTGTCGGACGCGTGCAGCAGAAATGGACAGATGGAGACCAGAGAAGAGGCGACTGTGGTGCCGCACCACTACTTTGCGCACGTCAGCGAGACTGCTGCTGCTGTTGCTGCTGCAGTGGAAGAAAGAGACGGTGTGACCACGACGTCGGGCGTGCACTGTATCGAGCTGGCCATGGCGGAGTTGCATGACGCACATTTGCTGCGAACGTCGCGTGAGTTCTTTGAAGTGTTTAAGATCTACGGCATGGCCGTGCTCTCGGAGAGACTGAGTCTGTCGTTAGCTTTGCCACATGTGTCGTCGGGGTCTCTGAAAGGCCCGGACATGGTCACGCCGGCCAGACTCACGCGTCAGCGGCAGCTCGTGCTTTCCATGGCCAATCTCGCAGCGTGTGCGACCCTGCTCGGGATTGCAGCACCGGCTGCACACGATGATGACGAGGACAACGAAGAAAGTGCGGCACGGCGACTACAAAAGGAGCACGGATACGCAAATACGTTACGTGCTTTTGTAGGCTATCACAGTGCCGTCGCGACGACTTCGGCCTCTGCGAAGAGCCGTAGTAATGTCCTGGTGAACACCGTCTGTACGGCACTGCACGCCGCAGTTGTTTCGAGTGAAAGTGAGATCAGCACCGCCCCATTGCGCTCGTCAGAAATCCCCGAAAGAGAACCACTCATGGCTATGAAACGATCTGTCGATCAGGTGCGGATGTTTATGCGTAGCAAGACGTGTGACGATTTACACGCGCGTGATGAAAGGCCAAAGTCTGAAGCAGCTGTGGAACGCGAGCGAACAGAGAGGTCCTCCGCCATTTTGCGGCATTGTGACTCCATTGAGCTGGCCGATCTGTTTGAGACATTGAGTAGGGAGCAAGACGCGCAGCAGAAGCAACGCAAACCAGCTCGGACGCGACGGAAGAAAAAGAAAAAGCTCATCGAGGAGTTCGCGTTTACAGCTGGAAGCATCACTCCAGCGCTTGAGCGATTTCTTCACCGCCGATTCCTCTTTTGCCTCGAAGACATCGTGATCTTGTTCGCGCAGCGCAAGACAGAAGCTTGTCGAGCGCAGATCGCTGCATACCGACACGACCTTGAGCCATGCGCGAATCATTTCCGAAAGTGGGAGGTTTCGACAAGTACGCTGACGTTAGCGATGCGTGATAGCAGCTTTCGGCTGCTGCTGCACGAGATGTGTCACTTTCATGCCATCGTGTCGTCCAGCAGAAACACGCGAGACGGGGCCAGAATCACGCAGCTTCGGCTGCCGCTTCATTACACGTGGGCAAACATTAACACTCGGGTCACCTCGGAGCAACAGGCTTGCAGCTGAAAAAGCGATTCTGCTTGTATCGTCGACTTGCAGCAAGTGCTGTGCTGTGGATGTTGGGCCAACTCAGGCCATCCGGTTGTCTGCCTGTGTCCCTTCTCGATCAAAGCGGTGCAGTGCTTACCAGTCGCGTGAATGCCCCGGGCAGTCGAAGAACAGGTGTGCGACTCTGCACGTCGTTACCAGCATTTACAGCTGGAAGCGCTCGACAACGTGCCGTCCAGATGTCCGTGGAATTCTGACACGGGATCGCGTTCAGCAAAGCAGTCGAATTCATTTCTGGTGCAAGCGCTAAGCTGCGTCGTATCACATTCCCATGGTACTGTTGACGTACGTATCGAGTGCATCACGAATTGAGAACACACCAACAAGGATAGGTGCGTGCCATGTGTACATCTAGCCGCTTCGAGACCAATCGATATGGCAATGTCGCAGGATGTTTAGCATCATACACATGTAGCTCGACGAACACTGAAAAAGCGACAAACTTCTTGCGTTTAGTGTCAGTATCAGGCCATGAGAAAGAGAGCAGCAGGCGTCAAAACAAGCCTACCCCATCAGCACCTTTGTGTGGAGTTAGAGCTAGCGCAGGTCAATAAACATTTCAACTTTAGCCCCTACAACAACAAATGAGTTGTTACCGTGTCGAGTCCTGCAAAAACAGTGCGTCCATCTCAAGTAGCGGCCACCTCCGCTGCTTCTCAGCGATCGGATCCTCGTTCTTCGATGGACAAATCACCGTCTATGTAGCGCTTTCTCTTCTGCAGCAGATTGTTCAACATTGGTCCATAGACATCAGGCGTCGTCCGTGAGTGCCATCAGACCTCGATGCTCGCCAACTTCGCCGCCAATTTCGTCCACCAAGGCACGAACAGCCTTCACAATCTCTTCCGGCTTCTCGTGGTGAATACAGTGACCAGCGTCCTTGACCACGAGATGCGCAGTTCGCTTACTGATTGTGTTCGCTAGCTTGATCTGGGCGTCTAGCCACTTGTGCTCCAAATCTGCCAGCATACGGGTGGTGATGCCCGCTTGCATCTTCATGCCGTCAAACATACCAGCTTTCCCATGCGATAGCACAACGCACGGAAACTCAAACGGCGTAGCGGTCGATACCGAATCGCGAAACCGCTGCTCCGTCTCTGGAATAGCCTGGTTCTCACGCAACGCACCTTCGCGGTGAGCTGGCGACGGCAAAAAGTACTCGACATACGGCAACGCCGCGGCCGTGAACTTTGCTTGCAACTTGGCATGTTGCACAAGATTAATGAGCCGAATGAGTCCAAAGCGCGCAAGCCGCAAGACCGTGTCGCCATTGCCATCCATCTCCAAGAGCAACTTGTGCACGACATCCGACACACTCTCCAGCTCGCGACGCAGGTTTTCTGCATCACCTCACACGTCCATTAGCAAAAGCATCGCACTCCCCTCACATCAGCAGCTGCAACAGCCACCACGCAACAAGACACTCCACGCACAAAAAGCACAGACCCTGTAACACGTCGACGAGCACGAGTCCGCCACACTTGAGACGCCCGCTCGGTGCCGTCGCCAGCTCCTCTGCCAGCTGCCGCATGTTGTACCCTCCTGCGCCATGCGCAACGAGCACAACGGTCCCCGTGATGTTCAGCTTGTCCAGAATCTGTTTGTACTCGTCGACAATTTGCGTCGACGTGCGCGGCAGTGCGCCAGGCGCGGAGAAGCCCAATCCTGGACGGTCGATGCTCACGACCGCCGCAAACGTCGCCACGTCGGTCGATACTTTGTCCCAGTCAAACGACGTCTCTCCCACGCCGCCGTCCAGCAACACCGTCACGTCGCCGCTGCCGCGTTGCTGCACGTGGACGTCGCTCACAGTGCCGTCCCGTCCGACGAGCTCGAGCAGCAGACCTGGAGGCGGCAGCGGGTGCAGTCGCTTGACGCTCTCAATCACATATCCGCTGGACGCCAACAGCGCTGTCACCACAACGAGACCGCCGCCCACGAGTTGCCCCACGGCGCGCAACTCGGTCATGACCATCTGCTGCAGTGGCGGGCGGGGCGCTGGATCCGTCGCGGCGCTCGACAGGCGACGAGGTGTGCGTTGGCAGTGTCGGTGGGCATTGCGCGGCAATGGGGGGAGCGCATGCCGCCAGCGGTAGCAGCGCCGTTGACGTAAGTGGAGCATCGGAGGCTGCGCGACAGGTGGCGCCCTGCCGCGTTCGGGTGGGAGTGATTGTCACTGTTGACATTGGAGGCGCTGTGGGTGGGGCGCTGCGTTTCGTGCGTGAGGTTTTTTATTTAAGCGGTGAATGGGTATGGGGGTGGGTTTGTGTGGATGTGGGGGGGTTGTTAAGATGTGGGCTTTTGGTCTTTATCGCTGCAAAAACGTGGGTGGGTGGGTGGTTTGCGGTTCGTTTCTATCCACGATTTCTATTTGCGACTTTGGCCGAAACATGCTCCTGCGGCGCGCGTGGGGGACGACGCTGCGTCGTCTTCGGTCGCCTCGTGCTACAACTGCACTGGCGTCGCCGTTCTCTTCGGTGAAGGATGACGAGCGCCACACGGTGCAAGTGCTGCATACGAGGCCGCCGACGAGCTACGTGGACGTGGAGCAGGACATTGCCGCGTTGCAGCGCGACATCCGCACGGCGTACAAGTACGTCGCGTGCGAGTGTATCGAAATGATTGTGCCACAACGAGGCGTAACACAACGTCGTTCGCGCACGGACACTGTGACTTTCGATTGTCGACACGTTTCTAACGCTACTAACGTGTGTACCCGTGACGGACATTTCTGTGTGCACTTTGTAGCTCTGGAGCGTACCAAGCTGCGCTGGACGCTGGACTGCAATGCCGAGACCTGGTGAAGACGCACTTTGGAGAGGACCACGCTGTCTATGCCAGCACTGTGACCAACATTGCTCTCATGCACAAGAACATGGGCCAGCTGGACGAGGCTATTGAGGCCTATGAGTTTGCACTGCAGACGTACAAGGCCAGCGTGGGGGAGCAGCACGCGTCGTTTGCCACGACGCTGTACAACCTGGGTCTTGTCTACCGTGCTATGGCACTGTCAAGCACAGGGCTCGACCGCGTGACTGCACTGCATCGGGCACTGGACTGTATCCGAGAGTCGCTCAAGATTCGCCGGGAGATTCTGGAGCCAGGGCATCCAGACATTGCTCTCAGTTTGAGCAACATGGGCGTCATACACTGGCAGAACAAGCAGCCGGACAAGGCGTTTGCAATGCTGACGGAAGCTGTCGAGATGTTGGAAAAGAAGACGGGGGCTGAGAGTGTACTCACGGCACTGGCAAAGAACAATCTTGCGTACGCGAGAAAGGAGGCGCGCGAGTATGACGACGCTATCAAGTTGTACGAAGAGGTGCTGAGCGTGCGGAAGCAGGTGCTTGGTTCGGCGCACAATGAAACGATCATGGCGCGTCATAATCTGGCAGAGGCGTATCGTGCGAGCGGAAACGAGGACAAGGCGGTTCAAGTTCAAAACGAGATTCTGGACCTCTTTGACGCTGAGCTGGGACCCGAGGAAACAAAGTAGAGACGAAATGATCAGACATGTTGTGTTGACATCACGAGCGAGGCCTTGGTGTTTTTTCATCTGCCTCGTCCGAAAATAGAGATCATTTGCGCATCCGGACGTCCTAGCCGACCTTGTTGGGATTCGCGTGAGGCGCCTTGAGCAATGCAGGCGCATATGGAGGCATAAGCAAACGGCGTAGGTCTTCGGACGTGGCTTGCGTAGTATCGCCGTGGGTTTCCCATACCCGAGAAGCGACAAGCAAACTCGAGATGGCGCCGCCGCTGCCTGGGTTGGATGACAGCACTGATAGAAATCGTGCCGCGTACTGCTTGGTCGCTGTGCTCTCCCCCACCTTCGATTTGGGCATGAGCGTGGAAAGCAGGTTCAGTAGTGCTGCTGCAAGCTGCGAGCTCACGGCAGCCTTTGCAAACTCAGTAGCGGCTTGCGTATGTCGCTTCAGCGGGATCATGTGCAGACACAAAAGAAGCTGCATTTCCGTCGAGTCTCCCAACCACACGCGCGGCAACAAGCTCGATAGACTAACGGGGTCCATTCCTTTTACAAGATTGTCGATGCACGCAGGGATGAGGCACAAGTTGCCGAGCAGCTGCAACGTGATGCGAGCTAGTTGGCCCTCAGTCGAAGCTTCAGTGCGGGCCAAGTTCTTGTACACGATCTGGAACGCACTCTTGACAAACGGTGGAACTGCTTTTGCCAACGGATCGACGCATTTGCCACTGAACGACAATGTGTGCACGCACTCCATGCAACGAAGCAGCAAAAGCGGAGCATTTGCAAACGAGAACCCCTGTGGCTGTGTCTCGTGGTCTAGGACATACAAAAGCGTCACTAGACCGTCTGCCTGTACGACCTGCACATCCATGTCAGGCGTATATTGCAGAAGGTTTCGAATAGCTGTCGCAACTGGCAGCAACCGCTGGAGCAACACGCTCTCTAGTGCTTGAGGTTGTGAGCGCACGCCGGAGATGTCGTATGACAGCGCTGCCAACAAACCGTGCATCACATGTCCACTTATCGTGCGGTTCTCGAGCTCTGCGGCCGCTGCGGCAGCAGCTTGGACTTCCTTCTTTGTAGTAGGTTTCTGCTTGAGCATTTCGGCGCGCCTTCCACTGCTGTTCTCCGTGCCAGCAATCTGGGCGAGGATACCATTTTTCGGGTTTTCGTTAAAGAAGTTGACGTAGATACCAGCAACACATAGCTCTTCCTTCTGTGCCGAGAACTTGAAGTGGGGTGGTAGCTCAAACACCTTGCGCATTTCTCCGTCCCCTTGATCCGTTGTTGTATGGAACTGAATTGCTCGTTGGGCAAGACTGATCAACTCTTTCCGCATGCGGTCCGTCCACATTACGTGCGGCTCACGAACCTCAGTAACTAAGACGTTCAGTAGTTTAATCGGTCCGGCCCGTCGTAAGATGTCTACAAGCGGGCGCGTAAAGATTTGCTCGATTGTGGTCTGCATTCGCTTGACAAATACAGCAATCGAGTCCTCTTTCGCGTTAGCTTCCAAGATCCGGCCCAACGCCTTCGCTGCACCTATACTAATACGCTGTAAGTCCCCGTCGTTGCCATCGTTGTTCGGCCGGTAATAGAACAGCAGTAGTGTCAAATACCACAAGATTCCGTGCTCAGCAAGCTGCAGCAAGAGAACTTCAGCCATTTCCCCCGAGCTGCCAGCCATTTCGTACATTATTTGAAGAGACAAATCGGTGGCCAAGCGGTCACCTTCTTGTGAAAGATAGCGGGTCAAGCAAGGCAACAGATCAATCGACTGCGCGGCAGCCGACACACGCCCGTTCGGCTGGTTTAGAACGTTCACGAGTGCTTCCAGCACCCAGTGTGTCATCACGTTTGGTGCGCACCCATCAACAGCATCCAGTGCTTCTTGATTGTGAAACAGCAATTGAAGAGAATTGCAGAGCACGCGAAGGCCTAGTCCAGAACTACATCCACGGGCATTCTCATCCGAAATACCAACGGCCAAATTGATGACACGAATCGCACTGCCGAATGCCTTTACGAACGCGGTCTTTGCCGCAATTGCTTTAGACACGTCAAAAAACGTTTTTGTCCGGCCGACACGATTGGCCTTCAGTTCTGTTATGCATCGTTCCAGAGCCTCCAGGAAATGCGAGATGTTTTGCAAGTTAGTGATGTTCGGAGAGTCAGGAAATCGGCGTAAAAGCAAGGCCGTAGCGTCAAGCAACTCGATAGCATCGAACACTGAGAGAAGTTTTGTCGATTGGTCTTTGACAGCTGTTGCCCCGCGAGTGCTTAGCAACAATGCCGGGTGCACCCAACGGCGGATCGAATCAAGAAGAGCACGTAGAAAAGCAGCTTCGTCATTGATGGGCCATCCAGGAAAGTTCTTTTCGTCAAGAAGGTTGTGTAAATAGTACTGATAGCACTGTAGTGCGTGCACTTCCTTTGGGTACTGTATCAATGGAATACAAGCCTTGTGCTCGGATCCTTCATTCTTTGAGATGTAAAACATCCCGTGTTCATCGGTATGTAAGTTCATGAACTTCTCGATGTAAGCCACCATTTGGTCCCGCATGTTAGCATTCCAAACCACTTCGGGATTGTTTGCGTCTGAAAAAAGTGCCGTGGCGAATCGGCGTGGGCCATGACGCAACAGTTGAGCTACCATAGATACTGGCAACACTCGCACTAGCCAACTCCTCAAGCAGATACGAGTCAGCGGATCAGGCGCAAAAACACCCTTCTTGTTCTCTCCTTTTTGTTTGTCATCAACAAGATGCTGGAAATCAAGCCCCGATTGCCGCAAATGAATATGAGAGATAAGACGTGCTGCGATTGACATCTCATCCACATCTTGAGCAAACCGAAGAAGGTAGTAAAAGATGCCAGATGCATGAAGATTTGGGATAATCGCTTCGTTGTGTCGGACGAGAAGCCGGATCAAGCCAAGACACTTTTTGAAAACGATGCGATTCGGACAATCCAAAAGTCCTACCAAGAACCGCAATGTCTGATCTTCACACAGTCGCTGCTTGATCGAGCTGATTGGGCTTACACTCGAGCCCTCAAAATGCGTCAGCCGTCCGTACTTAGGGAAACGCACATCTTGGTACATGTAACCCTCCTCTTCTGCTGTGTGGCAATCAATCAAACGACTGAGGACGCTCAAGCAGGTCTGCACAATCATCGACCCACTCATTGCGCCACAATGCTCTGCAACGACTGTCACGCGCCTGGGTTCTTCTTCGAGCTGCACACTATCGTCATCGCGGTGTGCGTCAGTCGGAGAAACGGACTGGCTCGACGCGATTGAGCTCTCGGCACCAGAATCCTCTAGTGCATCAATCATCCTTTTCGCCATGTCCTGCTCATCGTCATTGTCATCATTCTCATCGCTGCGTTCAGTAACGTCATGAGCATAGTCCTCCTCGTCCTCATCGTAAACGTCTTCGCCCTCGTCTTCAGACGCATCGAGATCTGCCTGAATATCGGCTGCAGGTTCTACAACATACTCTTTTTCAGAATCATTTGGTCCCTGAAGAACGACCAGTGGCTTCACTTCGCGTAGCAAATCCAAAACCATCGTCACGTTGTCCTTTTCACGTAAAAATCGCGACACATTTACTGCACTAGAAAGAACGCGATCAAGGAACAGCATGATGTTACCGCGTATAACCAATGGCCAACGCCGGTCCTCACCGTCTCTGGATTTCATCATGCTCGCCCGAAGGAAGTGATTCAGAAATGTTAGCGAGCCCAGCTCGTTAAAGTGGCGCTCGTATAACTGAATCATGACCTTCAAGACCAACAAGCGAATGTCACACTGATCGATGTCGCCGAGCGGATCAGACGTAGAACGCGTTTCTGCATTCTGTAGGTTGCTAACAGAAATGGCACGATCTTCGGCAAGTAGGCGGTAATACAGCAGCGACATAAACTTCTCGGCATCTTCAATTCCTTCTACTAGAACACCGCGATCGTCAAGAATGTTTGCAAGATAGTACGGGCCAACCTTCACCTCACTTTTCAGGCACTCGTAGTCGACGCGAAATTCATTGCAGTTCCACGCCACAAACCACCGTGGCATGCTCTTTGCACTCCGCTTTTTCTTTTGTGTCGAGAACGCACTACGGAACCCTTCATGACAGCCGTCTTCATCATCGTGCTTACATGCTGCACCGTCACCAGCTCGAACACCATTGGGACGAGAAGCAAACCCGTTCTCGTCTGTGTAATTATCGTCGCTGTCGTAGCCGTCGTCATCTAGCCCACCGTCGCTTTCCACGTCTTCAGACGTATCGGGATTCAGCAAAAATGAAAGCGGCATGTACCTAGCGAATCGGTTTGACGATGAAATTGTCCCTTTCATTATTTCAACCGCTAGTTGGCTCTCCGAACCATTTTGCAAGAACTCGAAGAGAAACGGGGCAAAAGTGGCGTTCTGCGGATCGTGGCGCAGTCGATTGGCGTGGTGTGCATCCCACTCGGTCTCCGTATGATCAGTGGCAAGCGGGTCCGTGTATAAATATCCGAGGTACTTCAGCCGGTATAAATCCAGTGCGCTTACTTCAGCTTGTAATTTACAAATCAGCTCTTCCACAGCGAGAGGACCCCACACCAACTCCTTGGTTGCATGGGTTTTACTCAAACGGTCAAAGAATTCGGGCAGCAGCACTGCATGTTTTACATGTCGCGCCAAGCGAGCACGCGTATTGATCCCGAAGCTGGGTTTATTGCGCCTACTTTCAGCAGCACTGGCAGTATCCCGGCGACCACCGTGCTTCTGCGAAGCATCGTTGCTCTTTACGTAAGTGTCGGAATTCGCCGTCGGAAGATGTCTGCCGAACTCGTCGTATTCCAGTTGACACGTTTTCATGTCATCTAGCAACGCGTGTGGAAAGATGTTTCGTATGACATACGATGAGCGCGAGTTTTCGTGCGTAAGCAACGCGACCAACTGAGATGAGATTCGACGCTGAGTCTTGTCTTGGGTATACAATGCTAAGTAAAGTTGCCACACGAGTACACCGTGTTTCCTCGCGAAGTTTTGAATCAGCTCAACAAGCTCAGTAGGTTGTTCCAAGATATGCACCTTCACCAGAATCGACGAGCACTTTGTAATTGAGAAACTCAATGACCGATTGAACAAAAACAGAGCGTGGTGACGAGAAAAGTCATTAAAGCGCATCGCTCGAAGCAAATCTCTCGCCACTCTTTCCGGAGTTGCCTTCTTTCCACTCGACAAGCAAACCTCAAGCGTCTGCAGGACCGTAGCGAGAACAAGGTAATCCAACCCGAGCTGAGAATACGCAAGTGCGTTCGCCATACTGCGTTCCGTGTTGGACATTGCCGCCACCGATTGGAGCCTGCTCGATTCGGGTCTTGCCAAAGTTGCGCTGTGCAATGGCATGCGGCCAGCCCGATTCGTCCTTGATAAGTCGAACGCGCGAGACACGTACATTCTGCTATGGTATTTCGTAAAAACTGCTCGACGATTAGCCGTCTCAGACTTCAAACTGCGCGTATCGGAGTAGTTGACCACCATGTACTTAATCACGCACGACGCTGCAAAGCTCACCTCTTCCATCGGGGAATGGAGCAACTCCATAATCACCTCGATACTCCTCTTGTACTGTGAGCTAGGAATCTCCTCAAAAACCCCGCGAGTGCAAAGCAAGCGCTGGATTGCCAACAGTAATTCCACCTGAAACTCCGTCGTCGGGATCGGAGCGTCTGTGTTGGAAGGGCTGTTAAGTTGGGCCACAGAGTACTCCTTGAAGTTTTCGAGCAGCTTCATCAGGCTCGCAAATGCACGTCGATCGCGCTGGCGAAGGCCTCCCAGTGGAATATTGCGGTTAAACTGAACAAGTTGGTTGTAAATGATTGACACGCTCTCTTTCGACACGAGGTTTGGGATCAAGCTCAGATTGGCCAACTTGCGCAACAAAATGTCTTCCCATTCGGAGTGCACCTCTGTTCCCCATGTTCCTTCTTTACACGCAATTTCCGTCTCTTCCGTGGACCATGGCAAGTGCAGCTTGTTCATTCGACACATCTCGATCATGTTGCAAAGAAACAGACTCCGCGCCTCCTTTGGACTAAGCAAAGTTGTGGATCCAGCAACTTGTAGCCAAGCAGGAACGTCTATATCCCCGGCAATATCGCCAATGACCTGGCACAGCTCATTTTCATGCTGCGATGATACTTGCTTGAGTCCAAGGCTTACATCCTTATCACGCCGGTTCACCGTTGCACTCAGGCAGACGTAACGGCGCGTTCGTCCGTGCTTTAGCTCTAGCGCAAACTTACCACACAATCCTTGTGACGCTTCAGTGTCGACATTGTCGTGAGATGACGACAACGAGGGGTACATCACGACATTGAAGATGTCGTTGAGCGCATGGCTCGCCATCGTCTTTCGTGTCACGGGGTCTCGTTCAACGATTGCCAACGCAGTGAGACCCAGCAAACGCAGCTGCAACTTGTCCGACTTGTTCTTGCTGATCTTCAGCACTGGGATCTCAAACGTCACGGGCTGCGGAATGTCTCGCGTCGACGTCAGCGCGTCAAACTCGTACGAGTCGGACACTTCTTCCACGAAAAGCGACACGCTGAGCCACGAGCGCAAATTGTTCGCTATTGCTTGAATAAAGGGCTCACGACTATCGCACCAGTACCGGTGCACTCGATTGTTTTCAAAGTATAGCACAAGTTCGTTCGAGTTGGTAATCACGCGCTGAATCTTGACAACATCGATCAACAAAATCGACGACAGCGTCGTGTGCGTATCGGGTTCGAGGCGATCCAAACTCGCCGCTCGCACTGCAAGCAGGACGTCCAGTTTCACGGGATGAGCAGCCACGCTGCGCGTCGTGCTGAGTTTTTCCATGGTAAACGTCTTCCCACACAATTGAAATAAGCTGTCGAAATACATGCCACTAGTTCCGAGACTCGAAAACGCGCTCGGACCGCCGGGCGTTCCACTGGACCCCGACGTAGTCCAGCAGGTGCTGTCGCTCGACGCCACGCTCGCCCCCACAGCACTCAGCGCATCAGCAGTAGCAGCATCGATATGGTCTTTGCGGAACGCCGACGCCCGTTCTCGTAGCTGATAGTACGCCGAGAGCAGCTGTTGGCGGCATCGACAAGTGTACGTTTCCTTGACGTTCTTGCCAATAAAGACCGTGAACGCTCTGTCGGCGTTATGGCCGCCGCTGTCCGAGGCAATGGTAATCTCTTTGATGTTGTCAAACGCATAGCGCTCCTTCACTTGCTCGGAGTATGGATCGACGATGGTGAGGTGGTTACTGCTGAGCACCAAGAGGCGCTTGACCGAGCGCAGGAAGCCCACGCGCGTGACAAAGAAACGGGCAGCGTAAATGACGCCTGCGTACCGGTTTACCGACGCGTGGCAGCTCTCAATGTTTGAGTTACTATGGCCACTGTCGTCGTGCTCGTCGTCGTGCTCATCGTCGTCTTCTACTTCTTCTCCGGTAGATACCGGTATTGTGCTGTAAAACGACGAGTCCGACTCAAAGCCCGTGGTCTCAGGACCACGCGGAATGAAGCTTATCGACGAGAGGGACACGACATCACGGCCCACCACGAGTGGCTCGAGCTTCTGCTTGAGCTGCTGCAGCTCCGAGTCGCTTCGGTTCTCGTCGTCGTTGTCAACGCCGCGAGGCAGCGCCATTGGCGGTAGCAAACGAGAAATGCGACAAGGAGATCCACAAAAGATGCAAGAATCAGAAAACCTGCTGTGCTTGTCGTTGTGCGGATACCGGTATTGTGCCGTACCACGCCACGGTTTCAGCTGGATGCGTAATCTGTCGCGATTCTTTCGGCTGCGACGAAATTGCTCGCTCGAAAATCAGCACCTTTTGTCACGTGCCCATAAAAGTGGCGAAAAACGTGACAAAAAAGGTGCGGACCAACTGCTGACGGACATCACGCGCTGGAACTGAGAATGGTACTGGCAGCCGAGCAAAAGGGTGCGATCGTCATGTATGGGCTGTGCAAGGAAGTAAACAAAGGCTGTACCAACGAGAAGGAAGCGCATGCGATCAGTGTGGTGGCATAAGTAGTTTGCCATTTTCGTATACGCGTCTTTCGATCGCAGGGACAAAATGGACATGTTCCGTGTCTTCACGCACAACAAGGACGCAGAGGCGTGTCAATCTTGTTATGGCCCGCACCTTTATACTTCTAGGCTCGTACCTCATGTTTCTTCGATATGCAAGTCAAACGGACGATGTGATGCGGTGTCGTCAAATGCTGATCATCAAGAACGCGGCAAGAGAAAGCAACCAACGCAGTGTAATGCAGTTTTGTCGTCGTTGGTGCACCCCCTGAGATGTTGTTGGTTCAACCCACATCATCGCAACGCAGATCGCGCTGTCAACTAGGGTATCAGCTGCGCAGTCCATCCGGGATGGCGCACGAGTTATCTTACCTCTTGTGAACGTGACAAGCCGTAGATCATGATCGGAAATTGTTATACTTTTGCCACCAAGCAGCAATCCTTTCCACTGCAGCGTATATTATCCAGCAATGGTGTACGAGTAATGGCATCGCCACACAATACGTTCCTGCAGAGACCACGAGAGCGTTGCACAGACTGGTCGAGCATAGCAAAAAAAGAGATAACCAACGCCCACATTTGCGACTAGACTCGATGCTCATGTCGTACCTGCTAAAACCTGGCTCGGGTCAGTACTGCCTCCTCACGCCATTTGATTGAAAAGGGTTGGTCTGCGATTTCGGCATATTGAACGGTCCCACGATAAATGGGCATACAAGATGGATAGATTTGTATGGATTACCGAGCAGGAAGAGTCTTGCGCGTTCAGGAATTGCTAATGTATGCAAAATTACATTCAAGAGTTTTGAAGGGAACTTGTCGCACATGCTGACGATCGGACTCGCATGCGACGATCGAGGATACTGGCAGCAGATGCTTGGTCTTGACAAGAAGTCTGTCACAGTCGATTCCAAAAAGATTTGTCGGCTTTCTAGGAGAAACTGCATTGATGTAGTGCACAATCGTTGACCGATGTGCTGTCGCTTCGAAAATCGAACGACGAAACGGACATGAATGACTATGCGTGCCTTATCGCAGAGTGCTGAGTAGCATATTTGTTGCTCCATCTTGAATCGTCGATACGTTGCGGAGTCAAAGTGGCCAGCTTTGAGGGTAAAATCCACTGCCGCTCAAATTGGGCAACAATCTAACGAAGTCGCAACAATGCCTACAGTTGTTGTTTCTAAGGAAGTTGATGACTCGTGATGCTGGCGGTGTCTAAGAAACAAACAAGTAGCGGGAAGATAGGCTCACTCGGAGACTAACGCTGTTGCTATCTAAGGATTTAGTCTGCGACCTTATCGAAGATCTGACAGCTACCTGCCTCTTTCTATAGCACGATTGCACTGGTACGAAACCAGTCTCTTATCAGACGATAACTGTGATTGGGCAAGCTGTACGATACGTCGATTGATTTCACGGAAAACAAGAATCGTGCAAGCAGCTGCTTATGACAGTTCTAGAGAATGGGAAGGGGTACAAATTTTACGAGCAGAGCTCTGAGCTCCATACCATGCGAGTGTCGATTCTTCGAATGTCAATCACACTAGAAGCAGATAGTTCGTACGACATGAAAAGAAGGACGGAATGTACCTGCAAAGTCGTTTCGACACTCCCGATAGAGAATGATGTACCTAGCAAGACTAAGTTTAGCTGCCTCCTGGTAAATGACATAAAGCACACTAGGTTTATTTGTGTATGATATCCGTCGCGCAAACGAAAAAAGATAACATGCTCCTTGCGCATTTTGATGCGATGGAGGGCATCCTGTAGGCAAGATGCGTGTTGCGAGAAGTAAGCGGTAGGTGAACAATAAGATTCTGTATTGCTTCTTACTAGTTCTCTCTTCTCTGCCGTGCTCGCCAAATAACCTCTGCTCCAGTCATCTATCTCGCTCGCATTCTGACTCTACCTCAATACAACCACTATTCTGCTTGTCACTATACGTCCACCTTTTGCGCACAGCGAGTTTATGACATCATGGTCCCAAATAAACCCCAAATCACCGGCCGACCACTCCGATCGCCTATTCGTGCCCTCGCACCCATTTCCGACATTTCCAACATTTCCAACACTCCTCCTCGGTCGTGACTTGCCTCTCACACTCGTTCCCATTTATTGAGCTTGCATACGTCCTTGTCCTCGTCCTTGTGCTCGTCCATCCTAAAGCTCCTTGAACACCCTTGATGGTCCTTGATATTTTCTTACTCGATGCGCATGAGCGCGTGCAGTGTCGATAGCTTCGTCGCGTCCAACGCCGTTGTGAGGAGGTTTGCGAGCATCTGCTCCAGACCTGACGTAGCTCGCCGCGATGATGCCACGACGCGAGTAGTCGCGGAAGAACTTGAGGCGCACATCCACATGTTTCACCTTCAGCGACGATGCCTCGCCCGCGATATGCGCGATCACCGCTTAGTTGTCCACCCGCAGCTGCATCGAGAGCTCGGGCTCCACGCCCACTTTGCGCAACATCTCGCGCAGACCGAGCAGCTCGCGCGCGACCTCACTCGCCGCGACAAACTCCGCCTCCATCGTCGACAGGAGGACGCCTCCCTGCTTCCGCGCACCCCAGCTGACGGCCATTCCGTTCCGCATCACGATGCCGCCCGTCATTGACTTCCGGTCCGACTTGTCGGCCGCAAAATCGGCATCGCTGAACGCTTCCAGGCGCATCGCCGCACCCGGGTTGTCTTCTGGGATCACCGCGACCGTGAGCGCCGCCGTACCCTTGAGGTATTGCGCGACGCGTTTCGACATCTTCCAGTCTGGCAGTCGAGGCGCGTGTGCTCGTCTCGTGACCTTGTGCACCGCAAACGCTATGTCGGGGCGCGTGCAACGCGCAACCCAGAGCAGCGAGCCGAACAGCGATTGGAGCTGGCGCACGGTCGGTCCTGGTCGCGCGCTTGGCGTCCCAAGAAGATCCGTGTCGCCCTCCTCCAGCTCGTAGCGGCGGTCGTCGATCGGCGTCTACGTCGAGTTGGCGTCGGTGAGCCCGTTGTTGCGCAGGAGGTCTCCGATGGACTCCTCCTGATCGAGCGTATACCCGCGCTGACCGTTGTGCGTCACGCGCATGCCCAGAAACTTGCTGACACGCCCCAGGTCCTTGATCGACAATCGACGCGAGGCTTCCGAAGAACCACTCGACCGCCGCCACACTCGTCCCTGTCGCGAGGAGATCGTTGACATACACGCCAACCACGACGAGGTCGTCGCCGTCGCGCTTCCAGTCAGAAGCACATGTTGCTCTCGCACTGCGTGAAACTGGCAGCAGCATCTTCGAGTGCAGCAGCTGGCTCCACAGCCGGCCTGACTGCTCGAACCCATACAAGCATCTTCCGAAGCTCCAGCACCAGCTCGCTCGTGTTCGCAGCCTTGGCTCGCAGCGTCTCCTCCGAGACCGGCATGCCGCGCGGCATCTGTAGGAAGATGCGGAGGTGCGGCTCCTTGTCCGCTTTGACGTAGGCGTTGTGGATGTCGCCGTGCTTGACAGGCACCCCCCCTCACGTAGCCGCAAGCGCCAGGATCACTTTGACCGTCGACAGGTCCATCACGGCAGCGAAGGTGAGCGTGTAGTCGACACCGAGCACCTGCTCATTTCCACACACCACCAATCGCGCCTTCAGCCGCTCGATGTCGCCCTGCGCATCCGTCTTGATCTTGTAGACCCATTTGGTGTGCAGCGCTTATGTCCCTGGACTTCGCTTTGTGATCGTCCAGACGTCGTTAGCCTTGAGCGCGGCGAACTCCTCTTGCATCGTCTTCTCCCACCCATCGCTCTTGCCGCTGCGCATTGCCTGTCCGTAGTTGAGCGGATCGTGCTCGAAAGAAGCATTCACGACCTCTCCTCTCGCGGCTGCATCTTCCTGACGAGCAGCCACTTCTGCGCGTTTCGACGCGCCGCGTGTTCCATGCGCCGCTCGAGCCCATCGCTTTCCGCTTTTCTTCCGCGTCGCGCTGTTGCCCTCTGCGCGACCATCGCTAGCCGCTGCTGCTGCTGGCGCGTCCGGCTCCTCCAGATCTCCGGCTCGATCATCAACGTTCATCGCGCGCTGGAGCTGCACTTTTTGCATCTCCGTCATCGTCTCGACGTTCTTGCTGTGATGCCTGACGACCACTTTGTTGTCACGCGGTATCAGCACCTTGTAGTCCTTGGTTTTCTCGCTGAAGTCGACAATGATGGCGCGATTTGATCGCTGCAGCAGCGAGTTCTTGCGCGGGTCCATGTACACGTTGCACGGGGAACCGGAGACGACGATTCCGCGCAGATCCGGCGTCTTTCCCGTCAGCACCTCGTGACACTCTCTTTGCGTTTGCTCTTCGTGGTGTTTTGGTTGAGGATGTGCACGGCGTATTTCACCGCGTCACCCCAAAACGTCAGCGGCAGCGCGCAGGCAAACATCATGCTGCGCGCGAGGCTCAGAACTATCCGGTGCATTCGTTCCGCCTTGTAATTCGAATCTTGGTTGCGAATCTCCGACACTTGGCGCGCAACGCCCTTGCGCTCGCAGAACATGTCCACGTTGGCGTATTTGCCGCAGCCGTCCGTGCGGAGCACGTAGATCTTGAACCTGACGATACTCTCGAAGTGAACGAGGAAACGCCTCGAACTTCTTTGCCGCAGCGTCCTTCGTGCGCGTGAGCAGTACTCGGCAGTAGTTGCTCTTGTGATCAATGAAGCTCACAAAGTAACGATTGCCGAGTCGATCCTGCGTCGTCATGGGACCCTTCAGGTCCGAGCAGATGACGCCGCCGATGCGATCGATGGGCAAGCGCGCCGTTGTCTTGTTGCGATTGCGCGTGGCGCGTCTTCTTGCCCTAGATGCATGACACGCACGCCATGCGTTTGTTACTGATAAGCCGAATCCCCTATGCCGAGTCGTGCGCCATGCGTTTGATCGTGTCTAACGCGAGGTGGCCGAGTCGCTGGTCCCAGTGCAACAGCGAGGCTTCGTGCGGCTCGTCGGCGTTGGTTTCCGTTGCATGCGCTTCGAGCGCCGCCATGGATCGCGTTAGCCGCCTGCACCCTCCTTGTCGCGCGTGGCCATCGTCACGACATACAGCACGTTGCTATCGATCACGACATCGAACGCGACCGCACCATCTTTGCGCCGAGCGAGCGAGCGATTGTCGCCGTCGTGCACGAGGGCAAACCTTTTGTTCTCGAGGTTGACGTACGATACAATGTTCTTTGCGAGTCGCGGCGCCAAGTACACATCCGTGAGCGTCACGACGGCCTCCGCGACGCGCGAGAACCTCGAGGCGCACGCTGCCGATACGAGTCAGATGCAGCTTTTACGACTCGTCGGTGACGAGATACCGTTTCGAGCCGCTGTCGAGGATCCAGTTTTGTCCCTAAACTATTTCTCTTCACCATTATATATATTTTCATTAATGAGGAACGATTATATCATTCCCCACATTCACAATCAAACTCGATATAATAAACTAATTTTCCTTGAGATCGACTTGTTTAGTTGATTTCCCTTCCACTCCACCCTTTTTTTCCTAATACATGATGTATTCCCTTTTGTTTTATTCGGTCGGCGCCCGCGGCATCGGTCGCCGCAAGCACGAAGCCGCATGAGCCGTCCATTAATCGCACTCCGTCGCTTGCATTGCTCGCTGCGGTGTACTTGCCGCGCAATCCCTTCTTCTTCCTGTTGCACTTCTTCGTGGTCGCGCTGCGATTTTCGGTCAGCGCGAGGACCGTGCTGGCGCCTCCACCCTCCGCGGGTGCCTCGTCGTCGTGCACGACTCGCGCGCGACAATCGGCCGCGATGTGCCCCGGTCGCCCGCATCGGTAGCACTTGATATCGCCCTTGGGTTTGTCTTCCACGTGCGCGGCGACGACCTCACGACCCACTGCATGCTGCCGTGCTCGATGGACTGCGCGAGTGTGCCAGCTCCTCGGCATGGCGCTGTTAGTCGACTCGCGTGGGTTCATACTTGGAGAGCATCACGTTTATCAACTCCGGCGAAGCGTGGTGGACGATGTTATCGAGAACAAGCAAGTCGGCACCACCACGCGCCTCGCTGACGGCGACCATATACAGGAAGTGTTCGGCCCAGGTGCGTCTTGGGTCCTTCTAGGCCATGAATAACTTCATTGCCTGGCTCGCAGTGATGGACGTCTTAAAAGTACGCAGAAGCTGCTATATTATGCATTACAGTGTGTCTGTCTGTTCACCAGGTGTCGACCTGCTTGTGATAGTACCTCTCGGCCGTGCCAGCGAGAAAGTGCCCAAGCAGATCGACATTGACGTCTTCGGTCCATTAGAAACCACACGAAGCTTCCGCGAGGCCCACCGCGCGCAGAAACGTGCGCCCCCAGTCGAAGAATCCGCTCCCGAGTCCGCGGTACTGCTCTTTACTATAGAACTTACGTATGTTCAACTTCCGCTGGATTGCCGACGGCATCCCATAGCCGTTAAGGCAGGCCTCTTAAAATTATGCATATGCATAAACTACATAAACTAAGTTAATTTATGCACGCCACTGGCGTTAGTTTATGCATAGCTAGTTTTGACGCAGTTCACTGCAGCAAAGCGCACTGCTTTGCTTGGAAAATATCTTCAAGCGAAAAATGCATCAGGTCCGTCCTGTTCGAGTCCGCCTCCCATTTTCAGAATTGAATTATCTGATTCGATCGAAGTCGTGTTCAGAAAGACGGTCGCCAGTCCACCGCAAAACGTGCGCAGTCGCAGATATTTGCCAGGCGCCACGTCCCAGGCGTCGTCAAAGGTTGTCTTGACGTCGTGCTCGTCGATGGCACAGCGCAGGATGGGACCGTTCTTGTAGGCGGCGACCAGCTGGCGATGATCCTTCTCGAACTGGTCGATGTCCTCAGCAGACCAGAAGCGTAGAATACGCTCACGATGTGGGTCCAGCACATCGCGAATGAAGTAGGCCGGCCGAAGTCTGATCAGCTCACCAGTTAGAACCGGTGGCGACACGAGCTCCCGCGGCAAGTTGTTGTCATCTCGCTCTGCCCTCACGGCTTTCAGGTCTATCACCAGCATATCCGCATAGGCCACGATCTGCTTCAGGACGACAGCCTTCTCGGCCTCATCTAAGCACAGCAAGTAATCGCGGGCCATTGATCCCTCGTCCTCGATCAGGGTGACGAGGTGGTCGGTCCGGACACGTATTGTCTTGAACCGCACGAATTCGTCGTCCTCCTCCGCGTTGGCATCGTCCTGATCGATGAGTTTGAGTTCGAAAATGGTTTTAATCGTGGTGACAAGCACCATGTTGTGGGCCTCTTGCTGCGCCAGCAGCAGAGACCGGTTCTGCAGCAGGGCAAAGGTGATGCTAATCGCGTTATTGGCCGGCGCGATAGCGTAGGTCACGGTCCACCGTGAGTCAGTCGGCAGCATCCCGGCGTGATTCTCCTCGGTGAATGTCATCAGCCTACGCCGGTTCTCTTTTAAAATTTAAGCACGTTTTCGAGATGCACCCAGCGGTTCGTCTTTTTGGGGCGCTTGACGCCCATTTCGATGATCAGATTGTTCTGAGCGCGCAGGTAGACGGTGTAGGAATAGGCAAACTTTATCCACGCCCCGCCGTCGATTCCGTCGGCACTCTGCTTGGCAATGATGTCGATCTGGTGGGGAGCGCACCAGACGCGCAGGACATTGTACTCGACAGCCGACACCAGCCTCATGACGAGGCCGCGGTGGCGCCCGGTCATCGTATTCTCGCCGTCTCTCGACACGCCGATCAACTTGGCCCGCCAATTCGGGAAGAGCGCGTCCATGAGCTTGGCAATCGTATTGAACATGTTCTCGGCGGTGTGGCGGTCGAACATGGGGAGCGCGACCAGATGCAGGTTGAGATGCCGGCCGTGCCAGTACAAGCGCAGGCGTAGGTCGAAGAATGAATGTCCGCGGTGTGTGCTGACGTCACCGGCCAAAGAGAACGCCCAGAGCTGGTCTTCGTTGCTGAGCATGTCGGCAATACGTTGCAGCGCGACTGCGACGTGCACCCGGACGAACTTGCCGACAATGAGGTCGTTGATGCCGGCCAGCTTTAACAGTTGGGCCCGGTTTTTGGCGTTTCCGATTGCGAGATCCGTCTGCTTAAACGAAATACATGCACCAACATGATCAATCACTAAATGGTATCGCATTGGATTCTTGATCGTCACCGTGTAAGACGCCGCCCCCTCCGCTGCTAGCTCTGCCGGCTTAAACAACAACATGGCGTGTTTCTTCTGCTTGGATAGCTTGGCAATTCTGTGGAAAGCTGCTGACGCCACGTCCTCTTCCGCTTCGTCGTCGCTGTGCGCCTCGATCACCTCGGTGTTGAAGAACAGCTCTCCGATGATCGTCTGAACGATGGGTGCCTTGATCGTGTAATCGATCGTTTCACTGGTCAGGTCCATGTGGATGTGCAGTGTGTTGGCGCTTTGGACCTTGTCTTTGAAGTACGCCATCTTCGCTGACGTCGAGCAATGCTGGTACGCCTCCCATGATTCCTTGTGCTGCCCGTTGAGGTGACTTCGGTAGTGAGGGCGCGAACGGCTTCGTATAATACTTGGTGTCGTCGTGGCTTTTGCGCTTCCGGATTCCTCCCTCGTTGACCGTCACGTGGTAACGGCCCTCGAAATCGCAGAAGTTGCACCGCACCGTCAAATTGCCGTATTTATCCCGGGAGACAATCTCGAGACCGAACTCCAGGCAATGCTTGGATTGGGATGGAGTGGTGCGCGGCAGCATCGGAATGGGCTCGGGTGGCGGCTTAAGTCAGCTAAATGAGCAGAACGTGGGTGGTCGGCGGACTCGGCGCGGAACTGCGCACCACCAAAAAATCTCTTATTTTATGCACGTCGCGGTCCTTAAATTATGCATATGCATACCTATTTCCAGCTTATGCATAATTTTATGAAGCCTGAGTTAAGGCCTGGGTGCACATAAGCTTGAGGCGGAGGTGGCGCTGCATACGCCTGCGGTGGTGGCGCATACGCTGGTGCGCGTTGCTGCGGTTGCGGTGCTGCGCGCGCGGGGTGGATCGAGCGATGCGAATCGCGACGCTCCAAGATCGGATGCGCGTTGGTACCCGCGCGGCGCCGGTATCTTCTTCTCCGCGTCTCCGATCGCGTCCATCGTCATCAGTTGAACGCGCATATTATCGCCTAGTTCAGAGGCGAACAGTCCGCTCTCCACGGCCCTGAGCATGCGCTCCTCCTCGTCATGCAATCTTTGTGACGACTCGAGGCTCTCCAGTCGATCGGATCCAACCTCAACGACTGCGGGTGCGGTGGGCGCATGCGCTGGCGAGCCGCGTCCAGACGAAGCTCGCGGGACACCTTCTGGTGTCTTCGTAGTCGGTTTGGTGTATTCGTCCATTGGGTCCATAATCTGTTAGAAAGTAAACATTAAGTGAATGAAATGACCTTTGCTAAAATTCGCGCAAGACGCGTTTGGGCCCCCATAAAGGGGCCTCGTCAGTGGATAGTCAAAATACAAGTGAGAACTACCCAACCTATATCTTTGTGCTGCCTAAATACAACACACAGAACCCTAAAGAACATTTCATGTAAACTATAGTGTAGGTTGAATCTCTAGAGTCGACCAAATGTGCAAATCCCACTTCCAGGACCGCCCCTCGACGACGTGAGACGAAGCTCGCATAAGCATCCATCGTCTAGATCTTCCTGGCTTCTCTGTAGGCTTTAATGGGGCTGTCCACCTTCTCTTCGGTCACTTTCCTTGTTTCTCGCTTGGTAGGTTATCTTGGCTCCCATTTTCCGGAACGTGTCTCATCTTGACATCCTTCATTCATCGTCGAGCTTGTTTCCTTGTTCTCGCTTGCTCTTGACCACTTCAATACCACCACCAATCCACTTCACCCAACCTTCACCTTCAATTGCAGAGTTTGGTCGTACCTTTCGTGAACGCAAATAGCGACTGCTTGTCCACTGTGGGCTTATGCCGATCTCCATCGTCGGACCATGTCCTATCGCGACGTCAGGGACGAACTCGCTCCCAGCGCACATCCCGTGTACAACGCAGCACCAACTAAAGTTGCTTGGGCTCATAACCTGTTAGAAAAGATGCGTGTTGCGAGAAGGAAGCGGTAGGTGAACAATAAGATTCTGTATTGCTTCTTACTAGTTATCTCTTTTCTGCCGTGATCGCCAACGCCCTCTTCTCCAGTCATCTATCTCGCACGCATTCTGACTCTACCTGAATACAACCACTATTCTGCTTGCCACTCTACGTCCACCATTTGCGCACAGCGAGTTTATGACATCATTGTCCCAAATAAACCCCAAATCACCGGCCGACCACCCCTGTCGCCTCGCACTCATTTTCGACATTACAACATTTCCAACACATTCAGCTTTTAGCTTCAGACACCTACTTACCGAGGTAATCAAGCTTGGTTTTGTCTTCATCTTGTTAGAAAAAATACGAGGCTAGAAAGTGTGCCTAACGTGGAGCGTTTTTCATCTATTAAACGCGAATACCGCTGAACAAACCTCTGGCGGAAGGAAACGATCGATAATCATGACAAATCGTTCATTATATTCACCCGGAAGACTTCAGTTGTCGTAGTAGTGAAGTAATAAGACAGGTGTGGACAAAAACAAAAGCAAAATATGTATAGAACGACGAACCAACTGCAGTCTATTACATCACCGAAACGCTGCTATGTATTCCTCAATAAATGGCTGGCAAGTTTTTCTCAACGCTACTGATTTCTATCTCACTTTGTTCCTCTCACTATAAAGGCCTACTGGAACACTATTAAGCTGGGTCTATCTCCTGTATCCTTTTCAAGAAGTCGTCTGGAGAGATGGTCTAGCCAGGATGTAGCTTACTGTTTGCTCTTTTGACTTTTCTTACCATTTTTGTACGATCAGGTGTCCTTGAAATCATCAAATGTCACAACGACGGTTTTTCGCTGCACAAGCAATTGTTAGACATCCTGGATCAGCTTGGCTTCCGCTTTCTTAATATTTTCAATTGCCTTTCGGTTCTATAGCATTCTTGAAGACTTCTCATGAGCCCGTAGGGGAGAATTTAGTCTACGTATGACGCGCTTGACCAATGAAAGGATCTTATCGAAACCTATTTCTTCGCTACCATCTACCGCTGCTGTCTTGAGTCAGAGAATTTTACCAAGAGCGTTGTCCGTCTTGTCACCACCAAAAGCATGAGCATGAAGTAGTATCGTGTTTGACGCAAACACGGTAACGACAGGTAGTAGCATCGCATGGAGTAGACGCATTTCTTGAATGGCAGACTCAAACACTGACTGTTTGAGAGAGAATGTGAACCTGGCATGCATGACCAACTTGAAAGAACACACTATTGTCGTCGTCCATCGTGCAGTCTCAGGTTTGCGCTCGACATAAGCTTTGTTGTCCATCCAAAAATTCGGCAAGGAAGGTGCATGAAGCGGATCTTCACAGCTCTGCAAGTAAGCGAAATACTTTAACGCTCAACGAACAGCTTAAATTAAAAAAACTCGACTCAGAGTCAACGAGCCTAACGATCTTACGACCCTTGTTCCAGCGGACCAAACAGTTCCGACAATAACAGCATAGATTGCTCAAGAGTACCTGCCTTAACGAGGCGTTTGCTAGACACTTTACGAGCGAAAGGAGCCTTAAGAAAACACGTGTCTTATGAGGACCAAAAGGGGAACTGAACTTTATTCGTTTATCAAAAGAACACTTCAGAATAACGTACTTATAAAGACACTACTGTACTAATTATTGCCCTTTTAAAAGATCTCGTATTTGGTGGCTGACACACGTCAGTCCCCGACAACTAATATGGTGTTCTAATATCATCGTCAATGGGACTTCGTCCCTGGTGTAAACCACACATGTTGCGTAACCCCGTTACAACCCTGTGAGTTAGTTACACTATACAAATCAGTTCTGAGTAATGTAGACCATCCCTTGTTTCAGCAGTGGCCGCCTTTTCTGATCACTGACAAGGTAGTGGACCGGCTATACGGATAATACACACTTCCACAAATTCATAAGGTTCCTCAACCAAAAAATTGATTGGGTCTTCGGTCCGTGCGGAGTCATTATATCCATGCTGGACATAGCAGTCGAACGATCGCAAGCAGGTATATACATTTGAAGACACAGCTTAGACATAACTTGTTGAGGTACGCCCGCGAGGGTGGCATGCCGCATGATATGATTTTCTAATTATAGAATAGCAACTTAATATCAGCCTCCGCAAGTACAGCGCCATCCAGGCGTGTATAATCTGCCCTAAGAGAGGCTACCTGCCAGGCCTGACGACAATTAATATCCCACAAGGGTACATAAATTACGCATGAGGATAATTGAATGGACGAAGAGATGAAGTGAACCACTTATACACCGCAGTAACGACTGACACTAGGATAGGCGCCGAAAGCCGAAAAGGGTACAAAAGAAGGTGGGAAGCTGCAGATCTAGTGTCGAGGACAACTAATCACTTACCGGTAGATAGGTGCGTGCGTATCCATACCAAGTAAAGGTACATGATGTCATAATGTCATGCGTCTGAATATTCTTCCTAATCCATATAGATTGATAAATTAAAGACGAAACGCCTCTTCCACCTAGCGACTGTTACGTGTAAAATAACTAAACCTAGAAAAGATGATGTCGTACGTCTAAGATAGTGGATGTCAATCTAGTCGATTTATTTTGGAAAATGCTCACCACAGTGCGAAACTCGTCTTGTTAGGGTATGGTCCATGGGGGGAATGATTGCAGGAAAACGAAGAGCAGATAAGCAAGCTTGGGCTTATCTTTGTCCGTTGTTTGGCAGCTGGCACATAATGAAGTGACCGATAATTATCTAGACGACTAGTTGTGAACTCGGGCGAAAGAAGCAGGATAAGAGTGGTAGACTAGGTTGTAAATCAGGAAGCGTGAACATTACCATCGTACATATCAGTGCTAAACTGTCTTTTTGACATCAAACTCGATATATCCGTACTGCTGCCCAAACTGTGCGGACACACACCGGTTTCTCGATGACTTGGTATGCCGTATTAATATGCTTATTCTGCATATTTGTAGGCACTCGCGTCAACAATTTCCACGTGATGTGACAATGACTTGACGAATGGGCGTTAGACTATCGAAAGACTTGATAGGCAGCAACATGAACGCGTATATTTGGTATCAATGGCGCTAGCTAGTCTTATGATAAAAGCGTAGTCTACTTGACTCATGACCGAGTCTACCGCAGCACAGACATGTGGTAATGATCGTCCGAATATAAAAGTTACTTCATGCAGATCAAATATGCACATTGTGCATCTGAGCGTACACAAGCATTTTTCAGATCAAGATGCAAACATCTGGATGCACTTCAATCCCTATTATGTAGTCATTCCTCGGATATCTCATATCCTTATATCTCAAACCTTTATAACTCATACAAACTAAGTTCCACCATGCTCGTTCTAGAGTCGCTGACTCATAACATGTAACTCATAACTATATTGCTTTAATAAGTTTCCAGGGGGCAAACAATTGTGAAAGAATGCTCTTCAGCAAAGTAAATCATATTCCTGAATAATTTATGAGCATTTGAAGAAGATGAAGCTTCTGAGTAAACATATTTAGTGAAGCCAAGAATTGAGGATGCTCGGAGTGGTGGCATCCATACGGATGGACATCCAAAGCTCACGAATACGCCTTTGAAAAACCTTATCAGTCGGGACCAACAAACCAAGTATAAAAGCAGTA